CAACCCTTTGTGAAAAAAGCTTCAAGCTCAGGTGAAAAAAGCTTCAATTGGCATGATGGAAAGCTTTAATCCGCGAGAAAAGCTTCAACAGGCATAGAGAAAAGCTTCAACCGATGAGATAAAAAGCTTCAACCTGACTCGCCAATGGCAGCGAGCGGCGACGTTGAGAGCTGCGTCGGTGACACGACAGTGCAGCGACGATGGCGGCAGCTAGGTGTTGCAACGACAGGGGGTGCCAGTATGCTTCAAGACGGCGCCATTTTTTGCTATGAGGGGGCGACGAGCTTTCTGCTAGACCAGGGGGTGAGTACTGATGCTGCGACGGTGATGGGGACAGCGACCGGCGGCGACGGGGACGGAGAGTGCATCCAGCAGCGTGGGACTAGGGGGAAAGGAGGTCCAGGCGAGAGGGCAGTCGCCGGCGGCAGGAGCGGCTAGGGTAGGGGCGCGGTGAAGAAGAAGAAGAGGAAGAAGAAGTTAACGTGGGGGAAGGAGGCACGAGGAACAGATCTGACAGCTCAAGCTCGCGGATCAGACGGCTGGGGCTTGACCGGCCCAACGATTGGGCCGGTGCGCCGGCGCAGATCGTTGCCCCACAAAAAAAAACATCAATGGCGTTCCTTTTGGCCTCTTCTTCGGTGTCCTACTACCCTAACGCTACCATGGCACGCACACTACATTTTTACTACTCATCCTGTTGGCAACCAAACGACAAGTATGTAACGCAGCCAAAAGAGTAAAATACATTCATGGTCACTGAACTTGTACCATAAGCTCACTTTGGTTACTGTATTTAAGAATACGGTCAATACGGTCATCATATACGACTTGAGGTGATTTTACGGTCACTGCCTCAACGTATTGCTCCGTATTTTACTTATTGACCGATCAAACGCCATGTAACCCTCTCTTTACCTTTACGTGGGTCCCACCTTTCAGTGGAAAAAAGAAATAAATCGCTATGCCTGCTAGCCAGTTAACCACAGGATCAATGTGTGCACAATTAATTTGAGCCATTATTTTTGTTTAGTGTCGTAGCTGCCGTGTGTGTGCATGCATGCTATCGTGCGCGGGTGCGACAGGGCTTCGTGCTCCCTCTGCATGCTACCTACTAGTAGTAGGTATATAGGACGTTCGCCGTCTTCTCCCACGCGGACGCATTCCCAGGGCGTGCCGCTCCACTCCATGCCGCACGCCATCGCCACCTGCACCCCAACGAGCCCGGCCACCATAGCCGCATACATTGCGCAGCTGTCAGAGTTACACACGATGTGGACTAGCAAGTACTCCCTCCGTTCCTAAATACTTGTCTTTCTAGGCATTTCAACAAATGACTACATACGGAGCAAAATGAATGAATCTACACTCTAAAATATGTCTACATACATCCGTATGTAGTAGTCATTTGAAATGTCTAGAAAAACAAATATTTAGGAACGGAGGGAGTACAAGCTATCTTTGCGTAAAAAGAACTTCACCGCCATTGTCACCGTCGTTCGTCGCCGTTCGTCATGTGTCGTCGAAAAGTACCGGGCTACACGGACTGGGCCAACAGCAGCTCCACGCTGGAAGCAGGTACTAGTATCCTCTTAGCTCCATGCCCCCTATCATCATATTTTCTTCACTTCTTGAGCTCCACGCGCAGGCTATGCACGCAGCCAACAGCGAGGAATAGCGTGTTCTCTGTTGGTACGCCCCTAGAAGACCAGCTGCACCAGCGTCAGATTCATTCACGTAGCTCCCTCCCTGTAACCACTAAACCATTTTTTTAGAGAAACTAACTGCTAGACCTAGTCTCACGTACATGATTGCATGAGCTTATCTAGATGAGTTAGATACGGAGGTTGTTAGCGTAGTTGCCGCACCTACCTGCTCATCATCCATGTACATTCTCTCGTGCGATGATGGTGAATACAGTTGAGCACGGTGAATGAATACGGTTGAAAATCCCCTCAAAAAAAAAAAGAATACGGTTGAAAATAGTTGCAGTTGCAATCTTTCTCCTTCTATCTCGTCTTACATTCTCGACCAGCGTCTCGGCACAAGCAGCTGAGACCGGTGTGCTCGCTTGAACATGGCCATGTTCCCGTTCACCGGCATGCACGCGCAGCCGCACAGGCCTTAGTTGTTAGCTCGACAACATGGACACCATGATGAGCACGGCGAAGGTTCACACATCTAGACCTTGCCCCGCAGCATTCGCCTTGCCGGTAAACATATTGTAGAGCATAGGATTTAGGACACCCCCTTATCTAGCCACTCATCTTCGCCTTGCCACCGGCGACATGTAAATGATACCCATGATGGCGACGGCGCCGAGGACGTGCACCACCAGAAGGATGGCGACGCCGACAAAGAACTGCGACAATACAACGTCGCGCCTCAACCTCGTGTTGTGCAAGTAACCCAACGGCTTGCGAAAGTGTTGCGTGCATGCGATTTAAGTGTGTTGTGCACGTGTTAATTAAATGGGCGACGCTAGACGCCGGTGCACCGGCCCAAATTTGGGCCGGTCGCGCCCTAACCCTTCGATCTGGCGTGGATTGGTCGTCCGATCTGGCATCTCCACGCGCCTTGACTCGTCTTCAACCTCCACCCCACGCACCCCCGCCCCTCTGCCCCACACGCCCCCGCCTCCGTCTGCACATCCGCGAGGGCAACGGCTGCCGGCCGCTCGCTCGTAGACCCATGATGCACTGCTGCCGCCACTCGTCGTCAACCCTCGCTGCACGGATTGCGCAGCCAACAACCACCAGTAAATGACATTGAATGGATGTAGCAAAATACATCGCCGGTAGTAGCAAAAAACACAAACGGTTGCAGCAAAAATTCGTAATCGATCTCCGTCCTCCCGCAAAAAGCTACTACCGGTGAAATAAAATGTTACAACTGCGAATTGAAAAGTTGCTACTTCGAAACGGGGGATTGATGCCATCGGTGAAGAAAAAAGTTGAAACTAGCGGCATGAAAAGCTACGACCAGCAAAAGAAACTGTTAGAACCGACGAATCAGAAGTTGCTTACTGGAGGATAAAAATTGCTACAATCAACCAAAAAAAAGCTGGAACCGACAAATCAAAAAGCTGCAACCAGCTAAATCAAAAAACAAAAGCCATAGGAGGAAAGTAATGTTGCATCCGCATGATGTCCGAGCAGGGTGTGCTCGGCAACAGGTGGTCGCCGCGCTAGCCCAGCAGCAGCCCCCTCGCCGCTGACGGACTTGCGCTCGCCGCCCCGCCTGCATCCACTCACAGGTTGGCTCCTCTAGTTTGCATCATCGGCGGGTGCCCAAAAAATCAGAGGGGCGGCAGGAGGTGGGAGGCGGGGGGATTGATTCTCATCGGCCTTCAGCTGCAAATAAAACAACGAGCTAGAGAGAGAGAGCTCTCCGCCGTCCAGAGATCGCGAGATGTTTGCGCTGGAAGGAAGAAGATAAGGTTTGGGTGGTCCCAGATGCTTCTCGAGGGAAAGGGATAAGTCTGGCGATGGTTATATTATAACCGCACGATCGTGGGTATCCCACGTACGCGACACGACCGGCGCTTTGTTCGGCCGGCGCACCGGCAGCCAGCGTTTTCCTAATTAAATATGCGTTCAAGTGTGCTGTATGCGTGTTCTGTGAGTACATATGTTCAACAAGAAGTTGTGTTCTTTTATTGAGAAATTAAAACGAGGTTGTGTGGGCACAGTTGTGTGCGTACGTGGGGTTCAGCAGATGATCGCTGGTTCTCCTGCCACGCATGGCATTTTTTCATTGACAGATGGGGCCCACATAAGGTAGAGGGAGGATGTTGTGCTGTTTGAACAGTCAACAAATAAAAATACAGAGCTATACGGTGACCCAGGTGACACCTTAAGTTGTACTCCCTCCGTTCCTCAATATAAGGTGTATTATTTTTTTTTAAAGTCAAACTTCTCTAAGTTTGATCAAGTTTATAGACAAAAATATCAATATCTAGAATACCAAATCATTATCACTAGATTCAACATGAACTATATTTTTATATTTTATATATTTAATATTATAAATCTTTATATATTTTGCTGTAAAGTTGATCAAACATAGACAACAGTTGACTTTGTGAAAAATTAATACACCTTATAATAATCGTATTGATCGTATTCTTAAGTACAGTGACCAAAGTGAGTTTTTGATACAAGTTTAATGACCACGGGTGCATTTTACTACAGCCAAAATAGTACTTCCTCCGTTCAAAAATTCTTGTGACAAGATGCAGACAACCAAACACCATTAATTCTCACCAGGACTGTATTATTTTTAGAACTGTCTCTAATTTAATTTATCTAAGAATTATCGTCAAGTTAGTTCACACCAAGTGACATATCATGTGCAGATCGTGCCCAGATTTATTTATTGTCTCAAGTTAGTTCACACCAAGTGACATATCATGTGCAGATCGTGCCATAGATTTATTTATTGTTTTTTAAAAATTTCAACGAGTGACTACATACAAAGCAAAAATGAGTGAATCTATACTCTAAATATGCCTATATACATAGGTATGTGGTAGTCCATTTGAAATCTCTAGAAAACAAATACTCCCTCCATACAAAGCAAAATAAGTGAATCTATACTCTAAATATGCATATATACATACGTACGTGGTAGTCCATTTGAAATCTCTAGAAAACAAATACTCCCTCCGTCCCAAAATAAGTGACTCAACATTGTAGTATTTAGGACCACAAGCTCAGACTCATGGAATCACAGAAATAGAACTAGATCCACAACTAAAACAAAAATAGCAGAATTTTGGAACAGAACCGCACTCAATGAACTAATCTCAACTTGACAAAGCAGAACACTAGCAGCAAAAATCAAGTCAGTAATACTACCCAGCGTACCAGGTACGGAATTCAATGTGAAAGCTCAAAACTCTCTTTCTACTAGATCAAGCATACTGCGACATTGCCACAATGAGATTTCCTAAAGGGTACAGACACTGATTGTGAACAGATAGAACTGAAGGCAGCCAACATTCAAGAATATTTTCTTATTTCTTCTTGGCATCCCCGGCCTTTGTCTGCAAAATTTATCCAAGAAAACGACTTAGTTGATATGACACAGATCAGTAAGGAAATCAACTAAGATTAGTATATATGGATACCTTCTTGACTCCACGGATCTTCTTCGTTCTGTTCTTCCTCTCCTTGATCTGCTTGCGTGATTTCTCTACCTTGGTGGCTAGCCCGTTCTGCAGAAGAGCAAGAATAATTATAAGCAAATGAGAACCTGACATCCTTAATTCTCGTTAGTGAGTTTGCAGAAAAAATGATGTTATTGTTTAGAGCACATGCTGATGAACAGAAATTTAGAAGTTGGCGGACAAAATTTTGAAGTGTTTCATCTCAGTAAAGCATAAACAATGAAAATAATGGAAATTAACATGAATGAGCTGCACGACAAAAAGAGTAGCATCACAAGGCTGGCAGCACGTCATTATAGCCATGACAGATCATGGCCCATGCTCGGATACATGCAAACTTGTGTCAGATGGACTTTCTAGCACAACAACAGAAACATACAACACAAATGCAGAAACTGCAAGCGTTTTGCTTTAAGCAAAAGCTATCATTATCTTACTTCAAAGATCGACTGCCCGCATTTTGAAATAAATTCTGGCAAATCCGAAGGCCCCAATTGGTTGAAGGTGGATTGAAGCAAAGGTAACCGATATTGTTATTAGAGTGCCCATTTCTAGATATGTGCCTATTATACAAAAATCAGAAAACAAGATCGGCCAAGAAATGGATTTATTTGCCACCATGCAGCGGCAGCAAGACTTGGCAAGTGTTTTTTTTATCCAAGACAACTAATATTGAAACTACAAGTACCCTGATCATCGCTTATTATACTGACTCAAGGATGAGAGCACAAAATTGACTAAATGCATTATACAAAGGCTACAATAGGATAAGATCAAAGCTTATTATGAGATAACAGTATAATTAATATGGAGGCCCAAGGATTCAGCAGATTCGGGTGGGATGAATTAAGCAAGAGGGGCATACCCTGATCAGCCTGTACTTGGGCTCGAACTTCTTGGCAGCCTCGAGGTTATCGTAGATGAGGCCGAAGCCGGTGGACTTGCCGCCTCCGAAGTGGGTGCGGAACTTGAACACAAAGATGCAGTTCGAGTCCTTCACCTCATAAATCTTGGCCAGACGCTCCTTGAGATCCGCCTGTGACACACGCGGATCAGCCTAAACTCGCATCGAAAATCAACGAGCCCAAAGATGACAACGATCTTGGCAGTATGGAGGGCGCACCTTGGACACGTTGGCGCGGCCGGGGTGGATCACCTCGAGCACGAATTGCTTGCGTGAGAGGAGACGGTTCGTCATGAACTTACGGGTGCGGAGAGTCACCGCAGGCGCCGTCTTAGCGTCCGCCATGATTGCTGCTGATGCCCGAGGTGCTTCCTCTTCGCAGGGATTACTAGCTACGGCAGCGGCGCGAGTGAGTGGCGGCGGCGGCAGGGCTAGCGCGTGGCGTGGAAGATGCGGTTTTATATACAGGTGGAAACCTAGGTCGTTCCTAGCAGAAGGGCTTATATGGGCTCTAAGATAGTTGGGCTCAAAAGAATTGTGGGCCAATTTTAAGGGACCTGATTTCTGTGGTTACAAATGATATGGATCTCTGCTTTTGAAATAAACGGCCCAATTTTAAGCGACCTGATTTCTGTGGTTACAAATGATATGGATCTTTGCTTTCAAAATAAATTAAAGGATACCCGTGTCTCAAAAAAAAAAGATACTGATACCCCACGCATTGCTGCAAAAACTGGTTGATGAAACTTTTGGCTAACAACATGACAACCAAAATTAAAAATACGTAATGACTTATTATATTTGATTATGTATAGTTGTAACAATATTTATTGAATATAAGAATAATATAATTGAATAGAGAACACTTTCTCATGCATGGTTGAATGTTGTGGTGAATCTTTTGTCATGCATGATTGCATGTTGAGGTGGGCTTCGCCCCATTCATAATTATATAATGAGTTGGTATGTTTCCATGTTGAGATAAATAAGTTAGTGAAGATGACCCACTTAGATATATAGTACACCTGAATGACTATGAGTTGCTACGGGATACAAGTCAACATGGTATCGGGTCGCCCAAACCTGTACCTGTCTCAATATTTTTTGTCTAAACCCGTACCGTACTCGCACCTCGGGTTTCAAACTTTTTCCATGCCCATACCCGGTCAGGTGCTCGTAATACCCACGGATAAAAATACTCATCTCGGCCACTTTTGCTCAATTCACACTTCACCATGTATTTTTCAGCATTTCCGCATATATATACAACATTTCAACACATTTACCACATTTTAACATTTCAGCACATATATATCATGATTTATTGTGCGATGGAACAGAAAGAATGGTATTAATTTTCGGAAGTGGATACCAATAAGGATGAACTAGATGGCACTAAACAATGTCCAATTACATTCATGGATGAGTAGCCTATAAGTGAACTTTTAGAGAAACAATCACCTATGTTTTTTCTTCTTCTTTCCAATTACAAGACAAACAAAGAGGGGCATAATTTTCTCTAATTTTTATAGAAGATATTTTGCAGCTCCTACTTCGAAATGATCAAAGAAACTATATAATAAGATCAACAAAATGAGAGACAAAATCATGAGTTCACAAACACAAGATCAACGCATTTAAACAAGAACATGCACATGGGTAAGGGGAGGGGATTTTAGGTCCAGGCTAGCGGCAACGTTAACCCAGGGTAAAGCGGCTAGATTTTTTTGTTTTAGTGAATGACACATTGAACCTACCTATTATAAAGAACTAGTAGACTGTAGTGCGTTGCAACGGGCTTTTTAAAATTTGTACCAGTTGCATATATAAACACGATGCATGTGAATTTTTACATGTATAGAAAAGATAGACAGTAACAAATGAAAAATAGTTGAAATCCACTCCACTTGCAATAATTTCGATAAAAATGTAATTAGGTGACTTGTACTATGAGATCTGATCCACAAAGTAGAGAAGTGGTACAAAAACATACCCCCTCCACCCAGAAGTACTTGTCGGAGAAATGGATTATCGTGCACTGCATTGTTTTGAAAGAACCGGTGTACCACCGGCATTCATATATTAAGCAGGGAGAAGGCGGGAAATATGTTCATGATCAAGTGATCATGGTGGGTTACAAGAGGTGGGTGTGAAAAACCCCAAGAACAAGACTAAAGACCAAAAAAATCTAGCCTGGATCCCCTAGTGGCGTCTCGAGGCACTTCGCCCCGGTTAGCTTCCAGCCTTCTACATCTCTTCTGATCGCGGCAATCACATTGCAAATTTGGTTTGATTCGTGTCTAAAAATTCTGTTGTTTCTTTCCCTCCAGATGTGCCATGTTACAAGGAAGATCATCGTCTTTAGCCTCTCTCTGAGCCTTGGTCTTGCCTGATGGATGAGGCAGCGCATTCTGCGAACAGAGGAGGTGATGTGGTCCGAGGATGAAGCAAGGCGCGCAAGTCTGTCACGGCCTGTCCAGGTTGAAATCCTTCCCCAGATTTCTTTAGCGACCGGGCAGTCCCAAAAGAGATGAACTGAGGTCTCCAGATTTCTTGTGCATAGAGTGCAAAAGTATCCATTTTCCCATCCTCTGCGCTGAAGCCTGTCATTGCACCAGAGGCGATTTCGAAGAAGTAACCAGAAGAAAACTTTGATGTTTCCGGGTGCCCAAGTTTTCCATATGAGCTGTTTGTCTTCAGTCTTCTGAAGATCACTGAATTGTGCTTTGTAACCTGATTTTGCATTGTATATGCCAGCGCTCTGAAGATGCCAGGAGATCTTGTCGACCACCTGTGGTTGCAGCAACACAGCTTCTGCCCGCAGAGCCCTCCAGAGGACGAGGAAGCTGTGGACTCGTTTGGGCGCAGCCTGATGTCCTGAACCCATTTGTCATTTGCGAGCGCCTCGGCGACGCACCTATTTTTTCCTCTTGAGCGCTTGAATAGCTCTGGGAACAGAGTGGCAAGATTCGGAGAGGTGATCCATGGGGATTGCCAGAAGGAAGCTATCTTACCATTTTCAATGGTCGTAGTGGTTGCATTGTCGAACAGGGCTCTGTCTTTCTTGTCACACGGTAATTCAGATCCCTTCCATGGCCTGTCATCATTTTGCCAAGCAAGCCACAACCATCTCAGCCGCAAGGCGCTGGAGAATTTCTGCAGGTCATGGATCCCAAGGCCTCCATTCTTAGTCGGTGCACAGATATGTTTCCAGGCAACCTTGCATTTGCCTCCGCTGAGCTCCTCCTCCTGTGCCCAAAGAAATTTCCGGTGAGCTTTGTCGATCTCTTTGAACAGAACTTTGGGTGGCTGATAACCCACAAGTATAGGGGATCAATTGTAGCCTCTTTCGATAAGTAAGAGTGTCGAACCCAACGAGGAGCTAAAGGTAGAACAAATATTCCCTCAAGTTCTATCGACCACCGATACAACTCTACGCACGCTTGACATTCGCTTTACCTAGAACAAGTATGAAACTAGAAGTACTTTGTAGGTGTTGTTGGATAGGTTTGCAAGATAATAAAGAGCACGTAAATATAAACTAGGGGCTGTTTAGATAAAGAAGCAATAAAGTAAGTATAGAGAGTGTGGAAAGTGATGGTAGGAGTTGTGAAATTGTCCCTAAGCAATTGACTACTTTACTGGACCGATAGCAAGTTTTATGTGGGAGAGGCATAAGCTAACATACTTTCTCTTCTTGGATCATATGCACTTATGATTGGAACTCTAGCAAGCATCCGCAACTACTAAAGATCATTAAGGTGAAACCCAACCATAGCATTAAAGCATCAAGTCCCCTTTATCCCATACGCCACAACCCCCTTACTTGGGTTTATACTTCTGTCACTCAAGCAACCCACTATAAGCGAACCATGAACGTATTGCAACACCCTACAGCGGGAATCCCTCACGCTTGCGCGACACGGAGGGCACAATAGGACAGCAACATAACCACAAGCAAATTAAACCAATCATAGCAATTCATCAATCACCGGTAGGACAACGAAAATCTACTCGGACATCATAGGATGGCAACACATCATTGGATAATAATATGAAGCATAAAGCACCATGTTCAAGTAGAGGGTACAACGGGTTGCGGGAGAGTGGACCGCTGAATGTAGATGGGGGAAGGTGATGGAGATGTTGGTGAAGATGGCGGTGGTGTTGGTGTAGATCGCGGTGATGATGATGGCCCCCGGCGGCGTTCCGGCGCCACCGGAAGCTAAGGGGAGAGAGCCCCCCTTCTTCTTCTTCTTCCTCGACCTTCTCCCTAGATGGGAGAAGGGTTTCCCCTCTGGTTCATGGTCTCCATGGCGTGGGAGGGGCGAGAGCCCTTCTGAGATTCGATATGTCTCTCTGTCTCTCTCTCTGTTTCTACGTTCCGGTATTCTGCCCTTTCACCGTTCCTTATATATCCGGAGATCCATAACTCCGATTGGATTGAAACCTTCACCACGATTTTTTTTCGAAAATTAGCTTTCTTGCGGCCAAAAGAAGAGCAGCAACCGCCTTACGGGGTGCCCACGAGGGTCAGGGGCGTGCCCACCCCCCTGGGGCGCGCCCCCCTACCTCGTGGCCCCCTTGGGCACCGTCTCGCGTTGATTCTTCTTCCCAAATATCACAAATATTCCTAAAATATTCTCCATTCGTTTTATACCATTTGGACTCCATTTGATATGGGTTTTCTGCGAAACATAAAACATGCAACAAACAGGAACTGGCACTAGGCACTGGATCAATATGTTAGTCCCAAAAATAGTATAAAAAGTTGCCAAAAGTATGTAAAAGTTGTAGAATATTGGCATGGAACAATCAAAAATTATAGATACGACGGAGACGTATCAGCATCCCCAAACTTATTTCCTGCTCGTCCTCGAGTAGGTAAATGATAAAAAAGATAATTTTTGATGTGGAATGCTACCTAGCATAATCTTGATCATATATCTAATCATGTCATGAATATTAAGACATGAGTGATTCAAAGCAATAGTATATCATTTGAAATAAAAACAATAATTTCGGGCATCCCAACAAGCAATCATGTCTTTCAAAATATCAATGCTTCAGAATGCTATCCCTACAAAATCATATAGTCTTGTATGCTCCCTTTTCTTAACACAAGGTACCGCTCATGCTCATCCAGGTGTCAGCCAAGCAATTGGTTCATACTTATTAACGCGCTTCAGCTTTTTCAACCCTCACGCAATACATGAGTGCAAGCCATGGATATAGCACTATGGGTGGAACAGAATATGATGGTGGAGGTTATGTGGAGAAGACAAAAAGGGAGAAAGTCTCACATCGACGCGGCTAATCAACGGGCTATGGAGATGCCCATCAAT